ACATCTCTTAATGAGGACGACTTCTTAATTAACTTATGATTACATCATAATATCTAATTAAGTGAAATGTGTACCTTTAGTTATGTGTCAGTAATTTAATAGTATTCAGGGAGCAATCATGCCAATTGATAGAGCCTTTATTAGATCATTAGATTATAGATCATACCAATTGCCGATGGGTTTACTTAATTAGATTACTTTTAGTAGTACACTGATGTCTTCATATTTCAAAAATTTTCAAATAGAAAGTTCTTAAACATTTTTAATAAACTGTCCCCTTTAGTATTATACAAAGTTCAAAGCAATTATATTTACAGTATGTGCATATTTTAAAAATATTCTTATTAATGTTTTTGAGAAACTCCTCAATTCTCCTCATACCTATTCGTATTTCTCAGTCAGCATGCGAGGTATTTTCTATTTTATTTTATTGATTTTTTTAACCACTTCACAAAAGGCAGGAAATGTGTTTAGTAAATCTTATTTTAATTGACAATCTTTTCTGGTTTATTTTTTAGAGAATCAACTAAATTTGCTGATACAAAAGAGTATTGTTTCACAATTTGCGAAAGTACTCTTTTCGACTGTTTATTTTTTGTTGTCGAACTCCTTACAGTATTTCACTCATGAAAAACGAACTTCATTATCATCATCTTAAGGTTCTTCATCAACATCTTAAGATTCTTCATCATCTTAAGGTTCTTCATCATCTTAAGGTTCTTCATCATCATCTTAAGGTTCTTCATCATCTTAAGGTTCTTCATCATCATCTTAAGGTTCTTCATCATTATCTTAAGGTTCTTCATCATCATCATCTTAAGATTCTTCATCATCATCTTAAGGTTCTTCATCATCATCTTAAGATTCTTCATCATCTTAAGGTTCTTCATCATCATCTTAAGGTTCTTCATCATTATCTTAAGGTTCTTCAATAAGAGAAACTGAATGATGTTCAATTTGCATCTCAATTATCAATTACCAGTTCCGTTTGAATTTACTGATGCTCAAACATATTATTTTAATTAATCTTTAATTAAATGTACATTCACTAATGGGGAGTGAACCAGAAACACTTACCATCTGAAACTTTTATTATGCTGACAAAGTTTTACTGAGAAAAATTCTTTTTCATACAGACGCGAACGCTTAGAAACTCACAAAGTTAACTCACAGAGCAAGGCCCAGTTGTTTATAGTTAAAAAACAGTGCAAGGAAAGATTGCTTAGTGGCAAATTTATTTACTGCTTTAGTTTGCCCCGCCCCAAAACACATTTGTGTAGGACACATTACTTATTTGAATGTACAAAAAAAAAGAAAAAAGATTGATTATATGAGTTGAGACCTACAAATGTCGAGATGTTGTGATAGCAACGTTATTCTGCAAGGCAATCGATAAGAGCAAAAACGTTTCTGACCTTCAAAGGGGTATTATAATGGATGGTCATCCAGTAAAATAATCTTTATCAGAGATATATTTTGAGCACTTGTTTAAAGTCAGTGTTTATTAATAATGGCGATCGAGAAAGAATACGTCTGCCACCAGGGAAACTACGACGTTCAGCTGTTGGTGACAGATCTAAATAAAACGGCGATTAGACAAACTTATTAAACGTTACCGTGCGTCAGAATGTGTCTCAGTTGACTGATTCCATTTAAGGTGGGTAGGATTAATTGATCTTCAGCCATATAATATGAGAGACTTTACAAAAAGTTGTTACATGACACCAGAACCAGTCTGAAAAACACTTATCTCAGTTGAAAACGGGAAATCACGATACTTAGATCAAAAACCATGAACAATGAATAAATAGAGGTATGGTCTAAGTCGCGTTTCAATCTCTGCCACACTAACTTTACAATAAAGATATCGAGAAAATCACATCAAACACCTGATCTTGTTACTGTTATTCCGACGGTGAGGTTTTCTGAAGTTGTTGTAATGAGAGTGTTCTATCTATCAATTTATATTTGAAATTTAACAGAATAAACCAAACAACCGAAAGAATTGACTGTATTTAGACTTAAGTTAAAGTTAATGCTAAATATTGAATGGTTGTGTATACTAGAAAAACACAAGAATGTACTGTGTTTAGACCTTAAGTTAAAGTTAATGCTAAATATTGAATGGTTGTGTATACTAGAAAAACACAAGAATGTACTGTGTTTAGACCTTAAGTTAAAGTTAATGCTAAATGTTGAATGGTTGTGTATACTAGAAAAACACAAGAATGTACTGTGTTTAGACCTTAAGTTAAAGTTAGT